GCCATATTGGCTTCATCAAGACCTATAGATAAATCTACGCCAGTCATGCCATCTGCATTAACTGCTTCACCATCCACTCTTTCAAGCGCCTCTCCGTCTCCTGTGACATCGGACTCTCTTACTTCATCGGTCCCTTTAATAAAGACGTCCCCGTTCTCAAGCTTCCGGAGCTCTCCTTCGCTCGTGCCCTCTGCTATATACTCCACAGTCCCAGTATCCGTCCCTCCGAGAAGTTCCTCCGTACTTCTACCTGCACAGTCGTCTTCTTCTCCAATATTCCGTTCATCATCTGCCTCGATGCCGCTTGTTTTTCCTTCCCCTATTTCTCAAAGCTCTACCAGCAATATTCCCACTGTTTCCAGTCAGAGTATCCCTACGTCAGCCCGGCGCACTACGACCATTTTTACCACTGAGACCCGTACCTCAGTCACTACGATCTGTCCTCTGAAGGCTACCAAAACGGTCTCAACTCTACAATCAGCAGATGTTACCTCCCCTGCCGCAACAAAGATGACGACTTCAACTGTCTTCACCACAAAGGTGTACACTATTACCGCCTGCCCTCCGTGGGTCTCAAACTGTCCTGCCTCAGAAGAGACAACCAGCTACACAACGGAGATTGTCCCCATCTATACTACTATCTGCCCTGTTTCCTCAGAAACAAATGATGCATATGCCATCCCGACACAGACATCCAGCAATGGGGGAGTAGCTACTGAACCGCCTCAGGCTCTCACTACATCCCCGATTTTTACTACTAAGGTGCATACCACGATTGGTTGTCCACAAGGAAGCCCGCATTGCGCAGCATCTGAGAAATCCACTTACTACACGACAGAAACAATTGCTGCATACACGACTATTTGCCCAGTTGCTGCAGAGGAAACGGGCATACATGCCTCCGGCCAATCGACAGCTATCGGGGGAGGACCTATCGGACAGAGTAGTGAAAGACTCAGTACATCGACTGTCTACACAACCCATGTCTACCCGATCACAGCTTGTCCATCGTCTTTCGCTACCTGTGCTGATACAGAGCGAACGACGTATCTCGCGACAGAAACCGCAGTAGTATCAGTTACTGTCATCACATCAGCAGCTGTTGAAACTACTGCAGTCAATTCAGGTGCTCAAGTTACTCCTTCCGGAGGAGAATTCTCAGCGTCAACCATTACAGCCGTTCTCTACACAACAGAGGTATACACGATCACCAAGGGAACGAAAACCCACCTAACCACCGCCACCGTTCCGATAACCACAACCATGGCCCCCACTGCCAGCGACATACCGCAATTCTTACCTACCAGCAAAGCAAGCTCAACATTTAAAGGGTCACACAGTGCCCAGCAAGGGGTGTCGGGTGCATCTACCATCGGACCCGGTGCCGACGCAGACGGCCAAATTGGGGTCAGTGCCGAATCTCAAGGATCATCCGGAGGGGAATCGTCCCCATCATCCTCCAGCAATGGTGACTCCACTCACTCTGACCGACCAGGTAGTCCTGGACTATCCCCTCACGTCCCGCCTTCGACTATTTCCAGTGTCGGATCACTTGTCAACAGCAGTCTTAATGTCGGCTCTTGGAGCAACGGCTCTCATTCTTCGGGTGTCCCGTCTCCTACTCTCGGGCTCGATCGCCCTACCCTTGGAAGCGTTGCTGGAAGTCACACTGCTTCTGCGTATACGTCTGGTACATCTACGGTTGTCTCAGCGCAATACACCGGTTCTGCGTCCAGGAGTGCAGTATGGACTTGGTTCCCTTTTGTGGGTATGGTTATAGGCTATTTTCTGTGATCAGTTACTAGATCAATTATGTTCTTCTGTTATTATCAAGAATGATTGAAATCCAAAGGTTCAACGTGTGAATCTAAGATAATGAGTATGACTCAATCTCAAGAGAAATTGCATCGCAGCGTATAGAAAATACTAAAAGGCACATTTTACTTGCGGAAATAACTATAGCCCAACGCAGAAATTAGAAATAAGCCAGCAGCCGCCGCGCCAACACAAGCAGAATGCATAGGCTTGTGCTTTGGTGCACACAGCTCTTCAACAGTGTAGTTATTCCTCTCGAAAGCAAGACGATCTAATCCGTACCTCTTGGACTCCAGATGAAAGGAGATGAAGTTCTGTCGGAAAGAGAACCAGCACTTTGCAGCCAGCTGCGCATTGGGATCATCTTGAGTCTTGTTACCATCCTCCGGTGCATTGTTATCGGCGGGCATGTAACTTGTGACAGCCTTATCCAAAGCCAAAACAATGTTTTGCACATTTTCGAGTGTTTCGCAGAAGGTGTCTCGGAAAGTCCATGATTTCGAGCCAAACCTGGACGATCTGCCGGCTACTCTCCTGGCCCTCGTAGCTAGCAGAAGGTAGTTTCGTATCTCACCATCGAGGACTTCCTTCGGGTAAGAAAGCAGGTCGTTTGTGTAATCAATGAAGTTCCTCACGACGGGAGCCACTCCTAACCAGTAAGAAGAAGGGACCTCCTCGGTGCGTGAATACTTGAATATCGGCGGTATATAGTGAAACGAAATGCCACTCAATGAACGAAGGTACCCCGGGAACGCTTCGGCCGCACAACACTCGGAGCTTGGATGTGGCTTTTCGTGGGTTGTAAGATGGACAGGCAAGTCCCCCTGCTCCATGCGGCATTCCATGGTACATGCCTCCGTGAACCCGCGGATAGCATTTGCTGAAAGGCTCCCGACCAGGGGGTCCTGGGACCCGAAGTATTCGGCACCCAATTGTAGCCCGTGCGTAAGGACCGCTGTCCAAGGGCTGGCATCCGGAGGACTGTAGCCGTCATTACAGGAAAAGGAGGATAAGCGGTTGCGCTCTTCTGGACTGAGGAGAGTGTCGTCGTCGCTTGCGAACAGGATGAGACTAGTGATGGCCATAACCAGCTTTGTCTCATGCGAGCAATGAGCGTAAAAATATTCGCCAACTTGCGCAGAAGTGTCAATTAAAACTTCCAGAGCCTGAAGATTCTCTGGGAACAGATGTGTCAGATGCTCTTGGACCCAATTATGGAGGTTATGGCGTAGACGTTCGTCAGCTGGTATGGCCTGTTGCTGATGTCCTATTCCTTCAAGCAATAGGAACAGACATTTGCGTACACATTGAAATACTTCATTTCTCTGTTGAGTACTGAGGTTGGTTTCATCGTGAAATTCTAGGCACTCGTATTCGGGCCTAGAAAGAGCTGAGAAAAAGTCGATTTTCATGTTGTAAATTGGAGGATAACCCCCAAGGGAGCACACCTGAAGAGGGCAAAGGCGAGCAAATGGTTTGATTTATGTTGGCCATCTAACTAAGGTATGTCGGTCAAGATCGGAGATATCTTTGATCTTCTCCATGATCTAATGCGTGATAATGAGAATAATATTGGCCTACCTTCTCACTAGCCCATCAACCGGGTTGCACAGACGTATGTCTGATGCTCTATCAGGAAATTCTGAATAGCCCCCCTTGCGGTTCTAGGCTGAATGAGGAATGAATACCCCGCGTATCAGACCCCGGTCTGAATTTCAGACACCAAATTATACTTTGTTCAAGATATGTACGTTGTTCAATGCGAAAGATTTTCGTTTACTCCTGCCGTTTATACACACTGATAGAATATCATTCAAGAGTGACAACTCAGCTTATGACGTCTTTCCAGTACTAAAACAAGTACCCAACCTAATCGAAGGTCAATCTTCGTAGCCGAAAATTGATAAGCTTCACTATTGACTTAACCTCGAGAATACTACAGGGTTAGCCCCTGATACTATGAGAACGTACCAAGATCGGAACTATTTTGTATATAGATTTTACATCTGCCAAGAAATATTGTGGTAATCTGATATTGACTCTGTTGTGCCTCGACGATCGATCCAGAATAATCTGAGTAGAGAAGTTATATCACCAAGATTTCAGGAAATGGCTTGACTCGTGATAATAAGCAAAGCAAGGGACAACAGTTGTGATAGCACAAAATTTAGTCATCAGGACAGGCCCTTACCTTTTCATGTTCCACTCAATAAATTGGACGTTACACTGTGAAGGCCATGGGTTCTTATTGATGCGTCCAGCTTCCGCTATCCACGATAAATAGAAGGGGGTGAAAGATGGATTCCTCCAATTCTGAGCAGGCTTATATTGCATGTCGATTAAAGGAAGATTGACAGACCACGTAGAAACCACGCTTCAATAAGCTCACAATGGCGACCGCGGAACTCGTAACAGCAGTGGCAGCTATAACCCTACAGATCTTCTTATCTCCGATCCCAGAAGTCTCAACTATAAAGATACTAAGCACCTACATTCTCGTGAACCTTGCAGCTGTAGCCTGGTCACCGAGAGCCAGCATTTCAGCAGACACCCCTCCACCACCCAGTATCGCTTGGCTCAACCTCGTCTTCCTCTCTACAGCAATAGTATGGACAGTGATCCATCGGCTATACTTATCCCCGCTCGCCTCCCTACCCGGACCCAAGCGTGCAGCAGTATCCAGACTATGGGCAGCCAATCAATGTTGCTTAGGGCGCTCTGCCGCCTATCTGGAGGAAATTCATAGGAAGTACAATGCGGACATTGTTCGTGTCGGGCCAAACGAGGTGTCGATTATAGATGTCGAGGCTATTCAGAAGATATATAAGGGACAATACCCGCGTGGGTATTTCTACGAGCTTCGTGCTAGCATGGGCGAGAGGAACTTGGATTCTGAACGGGATTATACACATCATGGAGAGTGGAGGCGATTATGGTAATCGATCGTTGTGCATAGGTCAGTGGTGGTCGTGGTGCTGACAGTACCAGGGAGAAAGCGCTTTCTGCCAAAGAGCTTGTGAATTACGACGGTCGCTTGCAACATCATGTTGAGAAGTTTCTTCGGTTGCTTAAGAATTATGAGGGAATAGAGGCCAATACGATCAAGCTAACTGAGCGCTTCCAGGTTGATGTGTGAGTGCTGTCAACTGCAAGTATAACATACTCCATGACTGACATCGAGTAGTATGATGGATGTGTTTTTCTCAAAGGATAGTATAGGTCAAGATCACGGAAATAATACCTTCCTTTCATACTTTGTTCATAAGTATCTAGGCATATCTGGGGTCAGTGACATGGCTTCTTTTCAGAATATCACGTCTATTCAATGCTAAGACATATCTAGGTCATCGCATGTCTGCGGAACGTCGGCGAGATTCTCTCCTGTTTGCCAAGTGCACCAGAAGCGAAAGCATTCAAAAGAGAAATTGAAGAGATAATAAGTGAAAGGCGGATGAAGGCAGCGCCCCAGAAAGATTTTATCCACCATTTCATTACCAGTGGCCCAGCAGGATGGCAATGTACCCATGAGGAAGTCATCTCGAATGCCCAGGTAGCAGTGATCGGCGGTTCCGACACGGCATTGGTCACAATGAACCAAACGCTGCGCTTTCTAGCCACAAACCCAGCAGTGCAAGCGAAGCTCAGAGCGGAACTAGATACCATATCGAATACAGGCGGAGAATTGACAGTCGAATCAACCCGCAAGCTTCCCTATCTCAATGGAGTCCTAAACGAGGGTCTCAGACTAGGGAACCCAGCTCCTATCGGGATACCCGTGAAGACACCCCCTGGTGGTCTTCAGTTTGGGGAGACGTATATTCCTGGGAACGTCGAGGTAAAAGTTCCCTTTCGGATTACGTTGACTGACTCTCGATGGTTCCCCAAGGGGGATCGCTTTATCCCAGAGCGCTGGACTGGGGAAATGCCGGAGCTGGTTCGCGATCGTCGAGCCTTCACTCCCTTTGGCTATGGCGTGCACTCGTGCGTCGGGAAGCAGCTGGTTACGAATGAGTTGAAGATTCTTATCGCGAAGACAGTTCATGAATTCAACATCTTGCCAGGGGATCAATATGATGAGGATAAGTTCGTTGAAGGAACAAAGGAGTACATGGGTGCTCTGCTCCCGTCGCTGTACTTGAAGTTTGTTCCTAGGGTGGAGGGGAAACGTGCAAGTAGCTAAGCCGTGAGTGAAGATGTGTTGATTGCTACATTTGTGGACTCCAATTACAACTAAGATGTAAATGCGATGATTTTTGGGGTAATGTATTTGGATTAGTGACACAATTCACAGCAGGATCTACTAGGACAAGTAACTTGAAACTGTAATTGTAAATCTTTCTTTTAGTTAATGCAAACAAGAACTTCAATGGTAGCTTACTAAATGCACGACAAGATCTAAGGAGCGGCAAGCATCAACAATCTAAACGTTAATGCTCATGGTTTATGACCCCAAAATCATCCGACTCAACTCCTCTGTCTCCCCACTTTTGTTGACCATATCCTGGAAAATGCCATTCTCTGTTTCTACCAACTCTGCAGGGCTTCCAAACTCTGCCGCAACACCATCCTTCATGACCAGAATGCGGTCAAAGTCGGCCACTGTACTGAGACGGTGAGCAATCACCAGCAGCGTGGTGTTCGTGAATGCCTCCCGAATGGATCGCTGGATGAGAATATCTGTCTCCATGTCCACCGCGGAGGTGGCTTCATCGAGGATGAGGATCTTTGGGCGGGATAGAATAGCGCGCGCCAGGCAGAGCAGCTGTTTCTGGCCCTGGGATAGGTTCGATCCGCCCGAAGCAACAGGCGAGGATAAGGACTGGAATATGTTGGTGTTTCCGATATGCTCGGAAGCGGCAATGGTGGAACTAGCACCAGACTGATTACCCTGGTCGTCCTTCAATAGTGGTGTGCTACTTCCGGAGGGGATGAGGTGGACACGCGCCAAAGCTTCTCGGACTTCCTGGTCGCTGTATTGATTCAGGGGGTCGAGGTTGGACCGGATGGTACCGGAGAATAGAACAGGATCTTGGGGAATGATGGCTAAGCGGGTACGGAGATCGTGAAGTCGGATGTTGGCAATGTCGACTCCGTCGATGACGACACTACCCTTACGGGTGTCCAAGAAACGGAAAAGAGCAAGAGATAAAGTGGATTTGCCTGTCATTGTTAGTTGGATAAGGAAGAGGAAATGCTGCAGGCAACTTACCAGCACCTGTCCGGCCGACGACCCCAATTCTTTGGTTCGGCTCCGCAGTGAAGGTCAACCCCTTCAGGATCGATGGTAAACCTTGTGCGTAACCGACTTCAAGCTCGTCAACCTCTATTCTACCCGTCTCGGGCCAGCTAGCCCTAACGCTGGTGCCGTCTGGGTTCTCGATCCGCAAGTCTCGATACTCAAAGATGCGCTCTGTTGCATTCATGAACAGCTCAACTCTTGTCGAAATTTGGATAGTGAAGGCAGTCAAGAAAGTGAAGCTCAGTGCGAAGGAGAGGGCGAATCCAGCCAAGCTAGCATCGATACCTGGGGTGTTTATCACGAAGGCAGCCACAGTGGCTGGAAATAAAGCGGCCACAAATCCTACGTGAAGATGAAGCCAGCTGCCGAGATAGCAAGCATACCATGTGCAGGCGGCGTAAGTGTCGATGAGATCATACATCCGTTTATTGAACTCTTCGGTTTTGGCAAATGCTCGAATAGTGGAAAGCCCAGTCAAGGATGCAGCAAAGTGTGATATGACCGGCGACTTGCTATTGGATTCAATGCGCCTAATGTTTCGTGCAGCAGCAAGGTAGCTCCGTGCTATAAAGGCGCAAGATGCCAGTAGAAAGATCGCAACCAAGACCATAAACGGTGAGATGAAAATGGCTGCAACCAATATACCGACCAATTCCCAGAGCGTTATGGCAAAGTAATAGAACATCTGCGGGAGCTGTGAATCCAGAAGGCTGAAGTCTCCTGTGAAACGGTTCAGAATTCTTCCCGTGGGAACTGTGTCGAACCATCGAAGAGGTGCATGGAATACGCTGTGTAGCATATCTTTGAATATTCTCCGTGATGCGCGGACGGCTCCATAATACAGGTTGAATACCCGGCTAACGGCAACTATCACTGACAAGGTCGAAATGACGCAGTACAACCCCAGGTAGAACCACAGACTTCGGTTCTGAACGTTGATCGGGAGACTGCTTGACCTGCTCATGCAGACTGTATGCGTTGAATAGCCTGCCAACTGTATCTGCGGGTTGTTGTGTTGAGGGCATGATGTATATTGAGTCACCCCCTGCTCATCGCCATAGGCATCTGCCCAGATCCTGATCCAGTAATTCCGAGCCAAAATCAATGCCTGGAACACCGCGAACAGACAAGAAAGAATTATCCAGAATGACCATCCTCCGGTTGCCTTGAGATACCCGGAATAGACTGACATCTCGACACGACCCGTGGCTCTCTTCTCCGCCTCAATAAGCTTTTTCGGGGGCCCCTTGGGGGCGGTAGGAGCAGAGGCAGCCGGCACTGTCAGCTCCTCTTCTTCCTCAATCAAGATCTCCCTGTTATCTGGTTCTTTTATAGAATCGAGTTCGCCATCCGCCTCTAGCTGGTCCACAGAACCTGCGTGTTTGAGAGTTCCGTCAGCGGAGAGACTAACAGCATATTTCGCTCCGGACAAGGCAAGCGACACATGATGAGTGGCGACAATCCGAGTTCTGCCCACTGCGAGCTCGCCCATTACTGCGTTTTCATAGACATGCTTGCCCACATGAGCGTCGAGAGCGCTAAAGACATCGTCCATGATGAGAATTCCAGCGCGTGAATAGATGGCGCGTGCCAGACTCAAACGCCATTTCTGTCCGCCACTGAGACTGATTCCCTGAGCGCCGACTTCGGTCTCATCGCCATCCTCGAACAAGGCCAGATCGGTTGTCAGTGCACATGCTTGTAGCACCTTCTCATATCTGACCGGATCAAAGGGTAAACCAAAGAGGATATTGTTCTTGATCGTGGCATTCTCAATCCACGGAGTTTGGGAAACAAAGGCCATAGCAGTTGGTAGGATCCAGTTGCTAGCAGTTGCCTTGTTATCGAAGCGCTCCTGGGGACAGACATCTCGCGGGACATGGACGTAGCCACCCAGCACCTCCACCTCTCCCAAAATAGCCGCCAATAGTAAGGACTTTCCCGATCCCGTCGGGCCCGAGATAATACTGAGAGCGTTGTTCGGAAATACCAGGTTGAGATTTCGCAATGCGAAACGGTCGGCTGCTGCATCCTGAGCATCGCAAGGGAAGGTCACGGATGCATTATGGAACGAGATGACCTCTCCCGGATGAGTGTTTTCTTCTTGCTCTGGCGCGCGTAAAAACTTGTCGATTCTGTCGGCACTCACCTGGGCGGTGATAACAGATACTAACAAGTAAGGGATCCGCCCAACAATGCCCTCAAGCTGGAGGAACAGACTGATCGCCGTGAACGCTACAGAAGGTAGCAAGCTCCCGTGGATGTAAGAATATGTCGTAAGAGACAAAGCCGTCAGGACAATGGGCGTAAACTCCGAGCCGATCGTCATGTAAATATTGTCGAGCCTGCTGCTCCACAGAACTGACAACTCCTCTTCACGTACAGTTTCGAGCTTGTCTGACCACACATCTTCAGCAGCGGAGAATTTGATTTGTCGGATACCATGCAAAGCTTCTGTAGTCATCGTGGTGCGTTTATCCCGGATGTCCATCAGGGCCTTCTGCTTCTTACCATAGCGCTTCGCTAGGTATTGGTTGATGGGGAAAAGGACCACAATACCCAGAAGGCCAGCGCACAAGCTTTCCCATCCAATGAGAAGCCACAAAAACGCCACTGTCACCAGCATTTTACCGACAATGTTCACACACTGGGAGCTTTCGGACGCAAAAATGGCGATTTGGTTGCAGTCGACCGCGAACATATTGATAATGTCTTGTTCGGACTTGGAGGGTCCGTCCTGGCCCGACTGCGTGTAAAGAACAATCAGTAAGGTAAACACACAAGAATCAGGGCTCTCATACCTCTTCAATATCGCCGCCTTCAGCTTTCGGGGGGTCGGTACTCAATTTCTTTCTCAGCAACTTACGATATACCAGCGAAGTCAAAGTCGACCGCAAGGCAACGACAATATAGCCTCTTTCCCACCACATAATACGCGAGTCCACCAGGGTGGAGCTCAAGGTGGCGATCCCAATCATCAGGACATATTTCCAAGCAGTCGGATCACGTACGTCTGCATTCTCTCGTGACTCCATGTATTGAAGAAGTTGCAAAGTTGCGAATGACGGCCCGACGTCGAAAAAATTGGAGATGAGAACCGCGATCCATTGACGCAGAAGTTGGACCCGAAACTGCCAAAAGATGCGGATCCACAGTGGTTGGGCGTCTGTCAAGGCCATGGCACTAAAATCGGTCGAGGCCTCCTTGGAACGGATAGCATGATTCATAGTCGGAAGAGCTTCAGATTCCAATGCTTCTTTGGCACCTTCGGACATGATCTCAGGAGCCCATATGAATCTCAGACGAGACCAGAGGCTAACGGTCATCTCTCGGTCTATTTCCTTGCCGTCATGGTCGAAGACAGCCGGGCGCCGTTCCACGCACCATATACCCGCGACCTGGGCCAGAAGAGTAGGCAGCTGCACTCCAGTCAGGATAGTGGTGGTGCTAGTTCTCCTCACGTCGGAGACATTTTCGCCAGCGAGAACGGAAAAGGCAATGGCACCAATCAGAAGGATTGTTGGCTGCTTCCATAGCACGCTGTCGAATTTCGCAACTGGGTGTGTCTGGGTGAGTGAGTCTGCGAATTGCACCAACAGAAGTAGCTATGGAGTGTCAGCAGCCATCCCAACAGACCTCTCCGAAGGTGGGATCCAGTGGTAGGAGAATGTCGACGCACCCATGCTGGCGGCAGCAGCCAGATTCCTAGTGAAGCGGACCCCTTTGTCTCATGAATGCTAATTGCTGCGATGATCAAATTTGCAAAAGCCAGCCCCAGACCACACAGATTCAGCAGAAAGATGACGATAAAAGGGCGTTGGTTTGACAATTGAGTGGTGGATTCTTTTGTGGCAATTCCATCTTTATCCTCATACCGAATGTCGTCGGGGTTCGCGTGTCTCCTCCACCTCGCGTTGATCAATCTCTTGGCCGGCGAAATG